CCAGCCAGAAGCGTTGCCATGCAACGATGCGGTTGAGGGTCCCCTGTTGGTGACGCGGAAGCGCAGCACGGAGTACTCTACTACGTTCCGTCATCTGCAGGTCTCGAGCGTGGGTGACCTCGCTGGTGACTTGACAACACTGGCTGATGTGGTGAGCCATGTCGACCGGTGCACTGGTGCAGATGGCGACCTGCAGAATGGCAATGGCGCGCTTCGATGTGGCGTGAGCATCAGGAGCTGATGTGACGGGATTAGCCAGGCCGAAACCCCTCCCCCCACACTTTGGCTGGGATGGCCAGCAGATCTTGCTCAATGTCAAGCACCTCATGACCGAGCAAGCTGGGGGCGAATACGTGCCGGATAGTGTCCCGCAAGGGGGGTGTACTCGGTCTTGTTGCCTTCCAACACACGCTGGAGGTAGGTCCACTCGCACGAGAGGGATCTCGTAAACGCGGAGTGTGCTGACTGCGGGTACGCCTTTGCTGCCTTTGCAAGACAGATGACACCATCGACCCAATCTCTCACTCTGCTACGGACGGAGGAAGAGACTCCCTCTGGATCACCAATGTAGCTACCCTGGAAGTGACCAGAGGTGGTGACTTGGACATTTCCCAAAAAGTCGGTCCACATGGAACGTCCAATATTCCATGTACGATTTTGTACAGGGAGTCGTAAAAACGGACTACCCTGTTATCAGGAACATTCTACGTACAGTGAACTATCATACATCTAGATGCATGGTCTGAAACTACACATGTATTGCAGTCTGCATTGAAATATCAGACTTGCAAGTTGTACCCAGGGTCTAGGATATGCACCGAAATGCGCCCAAAATGCAGGATTGGCCTTCTAAATTCCTTAGTTTTCTCGGGAGGACCCCAGACCCCCCCCCTTAACAGGCAGGCACAGGACGGCATTAGAGGAAGAAAAACACTTTTCGCCTCGGTCATGTGCAGTTAGATTCATACTGGTACCTACATGTACATTGACATTGTACATGTGCCGTAAAGTACCGCGAGAGCGCCCCACCATCTCGTCCTTTCGTGGCCGTATTGCGGAGGTGGTGTCCTATCTGTAGGTCATACGGCATGAACCTTGTACACACATTGCACGTTGTGCAGTCAATCCGTACTCAGTTTACCTTCGAGCTCCACACAAAAACCTGCTAAGTGTTACCTTAGTACACTAAGGTTCTCACACCATACATACTTCGTTGCACTCTGCCATACGATTTTCCTTTCCCTGGCTGTAAAATGACGGTGGGATGCTCTCGCTCTCGCGTTACTTTAAGGTTCTCAAGGAATGCACTATGGACTACAAATACAGCAGAGTAATTAAAGAAGTTTTGTGCCCTGTTATCACACTTTCTGACTGCTTAATATTATCTTGTTACAGTCGTGGATAGTTGCTTCATAACTCGTTTCCATTTTGATTATCAATTGAAGTTTATTTAACACAAGTCATTCACCCCGCCTATGTAATTATGCTCAGATTGAAACTACACTGTTACCCAGGACCCTATGCAACATGCGATACCACCACCTATCACGCGAATCACTACCCTCCATGCCTTCCACCAAGCTATCACGTTGATTTTTCAAGCACCAATTCCCCACCATATACTTTCTCTATGGCCATAGTCCAATGTACATGTCCATACTACATGCACATTATTATTAGATGCAGTCCCCTACGTACATCTAGCAGTGTCTGCTTCAGAGCCAGGTCAGCCAGGTCAGCGACTCGGTTGGGAGGCACTTGGACCCGTTTGGAAAAAGAACACCATCTGGGAGCCCTAAAATAATTACAACTCTCTGATGTACATGCAGTAGCCACACTTAAACGACCCGGCTCTGACCCGGCTCTGACCCGGCTCTGACCCGGCTCTGACCCATGGTTGTGCCAGGTACACGTGTACCTGATTGGTTTGAAATCCTGGAGCAGGCACTGCGTTGAGCAAGAAACTCGGACTAGAGACAAACTCCACTAGACCTTTTGTATTAAACACTTGCATGTTACCCCATAACCCATTGTTCCGTTTTCCAAAAGTGTCCTGCCATGCCAAATGCCAAATGCAACGTTCTGGGGCGAACCTCCAACTTCACCCCACACATACAGTACATGTACATGTATATGCCGTTGTGAACCCTCTACTGGCTATAGTAATGACTTTAGTCTGCATTTTCGTTGAATGGCATGAAAAGACAAATCGACAAATGAGTGGCGGGGGGGGGGGGGGGGGCTCTCAATTAGAGTAGGCGGCACTGCGCCCCTACCCCCTTTGGCTAGAACCCTGCTCAAGTAATACATGTATCTCTGGGCAGTCACTATAATGCAAGACCCACCAGTACTCGAACCAGGACCTTGCTGTCATGAGCAATGCTCTAACCATCTGAGCTATGGGACCAGACCGAACCTAGAAGGCGCTGACAAGTTTTTCACTCCTGCTGAATTTGGAGTGAAACACTTGTCACTGTTGTCAGCACCTTTTAGGTTCGGCCTGGTCCCATACAGCTCAGATGGTTAGAGCATTGCTCATGATGAGCAAGGTCCGGGTTCGAGTACTGGTGGGTGTGGCATTTTTCTCTTTTCAGGCATTTCACTTCCCTGACTGATCCTTTTTTTACAGCATATTTTCACATTGTGTTCTAAAGAGGATGGATCTACATTGTACATGTACATCTACATGATAGCAGCTGCTGCTGTTTTCGACAGAGCGCGTACATTGTACAACTGAACTTTAACATACTCTGAATTCCAAAGGAAAAACTGATGCTTTGAAATTATCCACCTGCTGTTCACCCCTAGCCTAGGTCCCTTTTCATACTCATTTTCTCTCTTCTCAATATTAATAAAGTTATGCTTACAGTATTACATGTGAACATGTACATGTACATGTACATATACAATGTACATTCTCTCTCTGTGTGTCTGAGATAACATTGTTTTACATGTACAATGTACATGTACATGTAGGTTCACTATCTGACGACTTACGGCCATCCTGAATGGCTGCATATTAGGGACCGGCGGATTCTGCTCGAAAAGGTGGCAGATTCTGCTCGAAAAGCAGTGAAATTGGCAGAACCATACACACCTTTTGGTGGGCAATTCCTCGAATTCTGCTTCATTTTTTATCCTCATACCAAACATGCATGAAACTTACCAGAAAAAGTACCGAATTCTGCCACCAGACCCTACTGCATATCCAGATTCCAATCGAAGACAGTGCTGTTGTCAAACTGTCTCCTAGTATATACAGGTGCATGTACATGTACATGACTAGCCCTTGGCTTTGCCAGGCCTAGCACTACACTCTCTCTCTACAGTAGCCCCTGCCTTGTCTTGCCTTGATGGGCTAGACCGTCAATATTCATAATGATTTATGGGAAGGTCTTGATGAATTGAGTCCCTTGACTCTTGAGTGTCAGCTGTCAATGTGTCACAGTCACGGACTCACCCATGCTCGGCATGCGCCGGTCCTGGCTCCAGCTCCATAGTCCCTGAGCTTCCCTTGTCTCGAATGTGACACGAAGCATTGAAGGCAGAGCATGCGTTATGCCTTTTGGCGGGCGGCATTGTGCCCGCTCAAACTAGCTATCCGTATAATATATGTGATATTATCACATAGTCATTGGAAAGTGGAAACAGGTCGTATTCTTTCTCATCAGCTCAGGGCTCGGACTCATCTAACCAAATGCATTGACCATTTAAAACAAAACGTACGGTCGTTACAAATTGTCAATCATGTAAAACACGGAAGTACAATCAGTACACTCAAACTGAGTCATGGCCAGCTACAAAGTACAATGTCGTGTGTTTTCACGACTTCCTGCCGGTTATCATGGTGATGAAACTACCTGGTGCCATGCCAGCCACTTTTTTAACAGCCTGATTTATTCACTACTTTTTCGGTGAGGTAACTCACTTTACAACTGAGCCACAACACACTGCTAATGCTAGTGTTACTTGTCTCTGTTACTTGCGTGCACAAGGTATACCTACTTGAAGTCCACTTCGACGCCTGTTACACTCACAACATTTAAGATTAATGATCTGAAACAAGTCTAAAAAATCCGATGTTGAGCAAATAGTATAATCTGGAAAGAGAAAGGACCTGTATTGGCTGTAACTGTAAGCTACTACTAGTTGTGACTAACACGTAACAGTCCACTAACAGTCCACTAACAGTCCACTAACAGTCCACCAACGTAACGAGATAACATACAGTCAGATGAAACAAGTTAGTTTAGAATGTGTAGCCGACAAGCGCTAAGCAAGCCCGCACATGTACATGTACTTGTAAATGATGGCAGTGGGTAGATCTACCATTTTAGAAAATACGAAGTACATGTACATGTATAACGATATTACTCATATAACAATATAAAATGGGCTGACCAATCAACACTTTTCCATTTTATAACAATATCCAGCAGGGGATATGTGGAGTCCACTGTCAAGGGGTAGGGCAAGCTTCACTTGATAAGTCGCTGGGACATGACGAAATGCAGTGGGCATGGGGGCGCCAGTGGGCACCTTGCTGTGTACATAATGTGCATGTACATACGTTTTGACGCTATGAAGAGTGTAAAAAATGAACTAAATTCATGCATTATGACGTACGTGTATGAAATGAACTAGATACCCCTACAACAATATTACCCTTCTAACAATATTCCCTTATACTATAGGGCCTTATAACAATATTTCTTGGTCGGACGAAAATATCGTTATAAGGGTAGGTCAACTGTATCACGCTCAGCTTTGATTTTGACCTACCAGAGCTGGAGAAAACATAGCTACATGTACATCATGGTACCACAAATGCGTGATTGAACATTGGCGGTTTTTCCATGCGGCTTTATAGTACCTGGCCATAGTGAATATCAGAAAACATTCACATTGGCTCCAGTTGATCTCAGCCATCACATCCACAGAATATGCCCCCCCCCCCCACACACACACGCGCGCGCTCACTCACCCTGACTTTCAATACATAACAATACAGTACTCTTATGTTTCTACTCGTCGCCTACGCGTATCTTTGAGATTGATTGAGTTCTAGAAAAGCATAAAATTATTATTTTCTATGAGGGGATGTGTGTCTATTTTCAGGTTATCCATTATGTGAACGGACAGGCATTTTCTATGAAACCAGCAACTTCATCTTTGAGGTGCTTTAAATGGATAGCTGTCAAGTACACTATGGAACTGTAAATCTGTACACAGCCAGCTTAGCATCCGGCACACACGACCAGCCGAGCATCCAGCTAAGAATCCGTACACGACCAGCCGAGCATCCAGCCGAGAATCCGTACACGACCAGCCGAGCATCCAGCTGAGAATCCGTACACGACCAGCCGAGCATCCAGCTGAGAATCCGTACACGACCAGCCGAGCATCCAGCCGAGAATCCGTACACGACCAGCCGAGCATCCAGCTGAGAATCCGTACACGACCAACCCCTTAGTATCCTACGTCCACAAAGCAACTCATCTCAGTACATGTAGTACATTCAAAGCAGCAGATGTACAGATTCAGAGGCGGCCTGAAAAAAAAAGCATGTCACCACTCATATAATGATCTCAACAGATGGGGCCGAATGCATGCAGGGACATGCAGTCACTCAAGCAGACACCAGTGGCGGTTTAGAGTAGAAGTCTTGAGCAATAGAAAAAGTGACACATCACGTGCCAAAGCAAACCAAATCACACAAATCTTCAGTGCATATACATGCACAGAGTGACAGCAGAAGCCGCATCTCCTTTGGGACTGGCAGCAGGAAAGAACATCAGCAGCAGCAGCAGCAGCTGACACATGTGCAGTAAAAGTACAATGCCCGGGCACAGCAAAGATACTGAGTATGGGCAGGTACAGACAAACTAAATGAAAGCTCAAAAGAAATCTTCTATGGCCAAAGTTACCCTAGCTAAAACTAATCCTATAGTCATTATATATTAGTCTACTATTAAAATTTATGACTCCTAGATATGAATGGAACATATGATATAAACTGTACTAACGGCTAGCATAGGTTAGTAAGCCTAACTCCCACCTCCTGAAGTCCGGCATAATTATACAGCTGATCAAGTCAAACATGCACTGTGACAGCAGACAAAGAGATTGTCAGTGTGTACGCAAATTAGCTGTGTAGCAGCCCTGCTGTCCAACACATGACTGGAGTGGCAGTACACATGCGTACACATGCGTATGCATGCACCAACACACACACACACACACACACACACACACACACACACACACACACACACACACAAGTACGCACATACACCACACACACACGCACATACACTATGTACCATGTACGCCCATCACAACAGAAGCACACTAATCTGGCAAGTGTGCTGGACGTACACCCACTGGTTTTCTCCCATATCAACGATAGCACAAACACACACCCTTATACCCACGCTCACGGATACACAAACACACCAACACACAGACATGCTCATGCACACACACACACACACACACACACACACAATAACTGTTACTTCTGGCTCTGCACGGCGGACTCCGGAACGTAGCCGTAGCGGTCAACATCAGGCGAATAGACGAACAGCCAGCCACTGCCTTTTCCGATCTGCAAGTTCTCCTCTGTGACGTATACATAATCGTTGACGTCCACGTCTAGATAATTCACCTCTGATGGTCCCGTCACAGCGTTTGTTATCCTCAAACAGAGGTCGTGGGGACCGATGCGCGGATTGGTGTCAGAGTCCCACGAGTCGTCCTTGCCAAGTTTGTTCCGTTCTGCCTTTGGAACAACAGTTGCGTACGTTGTTTTCGGCTTACCGTTGTAGGCTTCTGCTTCCTTCTGCACTGAATAATGAGCCTCCTGGTTTCCACTTTTATCTGGTTTGACGGTCGTCTTGTGCGGTAGGTCAGCTGATTGGAAGCGTGCATAGTCGTACTCGGGGTAATCGGCCATATCACTTTCCTGCGCCTCCTCAATGATATCCTCTTCAGGGTACTGCTGCCTTAGCTGCTGCTTCTGCTGATGCTGTCGCAGCGCCCTCTCCTGTTCCATGTGTAGCTCCTCCTGCCGCTGCATCGTCTCCTGCAGGCTCTCAACGATCTGTTCGTGAATGCTTGTACAGCCGCACTGACAGATGTACGTACGCGGGATGAAACCTTCGCGTTTGTCATCGGTTCGCACCCACAGCCATCCGGGATCATCCTGATTCAAGACGGTGACGTCCGTTCCCCGTTCCACATGCAAGTCATTTTCCTCCTCGCCATTGAAATCGAACAGCACGACTGACCTTCCATATGGTACCTTGAAGAACGGCAGGATGTCAGCCATGTACACACCTGAACCTAGGCGCTTGCCCAATTCTGGATCCATGCTCGATCTGAGTGATAACGTATCAGCCAGATCAAGATTATCAATGGGCATGCTGTACACACTGATGTTGTCATCAGTCTTGTGTCGGCGCGGCATATTCGGGCCTCCATTGCCGTACTGTTCCCAGTCGGGCTGTGATGCGATGTTTCCATTGTTCTGACTTCGTTTAACCGCGGCGTGTCCTGTCCCGGTGTTGACGGTTGAGTGTGTGGCCGAGCGCATGCTGTGTCTCGGAAACGTACCCTGCGATTCTCCGCAATACGTATATGGTATGTAGCCTTTCTGTCCCTCGGAGTTGATGACGTAAGCCCAGCTCTTGGCATGGTGCAGTATGTGTATGATCTCTCCCTCAGTCACACTCATCTCATTGGCCAGCTGGGCCTTGTACGTCTGCAGCACCTTGGCTTTTCGCGTCCGATGTGAACCCAGGCCACTACTACTAGCCGTGGAGAACTGCGACAGAGAGCGGTCATCCTCGCCACGATACGAATCAGATATCCAGTCGGTTATCATGCTGTTCTTGGCATGCTTCGCACGCCGCGTTGGGCAGCCGAACAACATTTTGACTCAGTTACTGGCAACGATCGTATGTGTATAGGGCGATCGACTGCAATCCAAGGCTCTGCAATACGAGAGTCCAGAGAATAAATACTACATTGGCAGTATCTGGTGTATGGTCCAAGCCTGGAAGCCTGTGCGTGTAAGACTCTAGAATAGTGAAGCTCTAACTATCACAGGATTCTGACGAAGGGGATATTCAATCAAGTATTCATTCAGGAGACACTTCATCGACTTCCAGTTTCCAGTTCCGCTACCACAGTACCAGCTCAATAATCCACGGACAAAACAAAGCGAATTATTCCATTCCTACTCCTATAGCGTGGCACATGACAGTGAAGCTCTTTCGCAATGTGAACATCTGCTGGGAGCTTTGCAGAAACGATAATCAAAATACTAGTACGCAGAAGTCGTCGAAAGAGCGACTTGTGTCGATCTCTCCCGACTGCTGCTGAGCTGTTTCTGCTGACCGTGTGATGGTGCATGTCTACACATGCGCGCGTGTATGCATGTGTGACGAAACAGTCGTTCGCGCTTCATCACTGACACTGTTCATCATGCAAAGATCTACTCGAGTCGTAGGTTCAGCTAGCTGTGCATTATTTTTGCAGTGGTAGGAACTGGTTGCTTGCGGCGGGGATATCTCACGGTACCCATCAGGGAGTCGTATAGACCCCCTGGTACCCATCACCGATATGCGATCGACATGACTTGTTGCGTACAACGACGAGATTACGTGTACACCATTGGTATACGCAGCCTACTCATAATAAACCATGAAACCAGGGAGTAGGATACGACTCCCTGCATGAAACCGTATCTTTCAGTCTTTGACGCTCCCTAGTCTAGATCCATACTACCCCATAGCCTGGGCTTGGGCGCGGGCCTGGGCCATGAGATCTGGCGTGTTCCGCGTGGTCTGGTCAGGTTTCCTGCTTGGGAAGTGTTGAATGCTATCACGTTTCCCACCTTGCATTTTTCTGCGGTGTCATGTTCACCGATGCATCTCCACCCGATCACATCTACATGCTTGACTTTCCTTGCCCTCGGCTTCAATGGCTTGGCTAGCCCATACAATCGCGAAAAGTAGGCAGTCTTTCTCTGAGTTGGCAAGACTTGAACAGCCAGCCAGGGCCAGGCCAGGCAGGGGTCATGAGGACAACGGTCTTTGTACGGTTGAGACTTCAGACTGTAGATCTACATGATAGAAATACGACCCTCGCCTTGTAGTTTGCACTTTGCAGAAATAAAGAAAAAATGGATCCATCCCGGCGATTACGAGTCCTTTGTCTAACCGTGCTTTTGCACCTCCATCATGTTTTCTCAATAATAATAATTATGTTCTCTGGTAGTCGCGCCATCAGACGGGACCTTATGCGGGGAATCTTAGGCCATAGCATAGGTCAGCTTGGTTAGGATGTACGCATCATGCAGCAAGATCATGATGTGTATAATGACATTGATGTCTTGATGACGACTGCTGTATCGGAATGATTGCAATTGCGGCAATGCCTATGACTATCCGCCAGCATAGAGCAAGAACTTGAAGGAGGATGCCTTCTGGGGTGTATGCATTATGTGCATTGTTTTCTTGCTGATCATCCCTTGGCTTGAAAGGATACCGGCAATATAATTTTCCTCGGGACTTATGGATCTAATATTGACTGAGTACGAGGTCAATAGGAAATAAAAGCCGAGTAAAAGACCGAGGCGAAGCCGAGGTCTTTTACGAGGTTTTATTTCCTATACGGACCAAGTACGAAGTCAATATTAGATTTATCACGACAAACAGTCCGTATTTCAAATTCCAGAACGATAACCTCATGAATCCCGGTTTTATGACTGCACAACCGCGCAACCGTTGCACCACGGCCTACTCATGCAGTGACAATGCTGCATTAGGCACCGTTCAACTGCGCAACCCCTAACTTGGCCTAAGCAGTCAAATATAAGCAGTCAATATCCCTAAGGAGTGAAATATGCAGGAATATTTGACTGCTTAGGTATGGCAAAAATCTATGTGAGTCAATACTAAGGGAGTGATAAGTATCTAATATTGACTGAGTACGAGGTCAATATAGGAAATAAAAGCCGAGTAAAAGACCGAGGCGAAGCCGAGGTCTTTTACGAGGTTTTTATTTCCTATACTGACCAAGTACGAAGTCAATATTAGATTTATCACGACAAACAGTCCGTATTTCAAATTCCAGAACGATAACCTCATGAATCCCGGTTTTATGATTGCACAACCGTTGCACCACCACCTACTCATGCAGTGACAATGGTGCACTAGGCACCGTTCAACTGCGCAACCCCTAAGCAGTCAAATATAAGCAGTCAATATAGCCCTAAGGAGTGAAATATGCAGGAATATTTGACTGCTTAGGTATGGCAAAAATCTATGTGAGTCAATACTAAGGGAGTGATAAGCAGCCGTATTTCTAGCGAAAGCGGGAAAGGCTACACTGAATTCGAATGCTAAACTAATCAACACTTTGACTGAGTCCATCTGATCCACAGTGCAAGGAAACATTATTTTTATTCATTTATTACAGCATCTCATAGCACAGTGAGAACACCGGCCAATGCAAAGAGAGAGGGTGTTTTCTTTTTTCTTTTCTTTTTTTCTACAAAATCCACATATCTCCAGACACTGGGGTGAATGCTCCAATCTTTCATGGGAACCCCACATCGATTACATCTGTAAACGATCAAGTTCATCTTTAGGAATCCTCTCTTCTCACTGTTACCATCTCCCAATCTCTTGTAAACTCCTCTTTTACTCAGCTTACCTACGCCCCATTTTTGATTATGCAGATACTGCTTGGGCTGGAATTTCCACAACCCGTGCTGCCAACCTCGAAATTCAGCACAAAAAAGTTCTAAAAATCCTCCTCCGAAAACCCCGCATGCTCCCATCTTCCACCCTTTATGCCCTTGCTGACACTACCCCTTTGTCTAAGAGACGTAATTCACATCTTGTCACCCTTATCCATTCTCTCAAACTCAATCTGTGTCCACCTCACCTCCACTGTTTCAACTGGTTTTCTTCCCGTAGCACGAGAAACTCCCTTTCCCTTCCGAAACGCAAGTCCTCCTTTCTACTTCACTCTCCCCTTTTAATAGGGGACTCTGCGTGGCTGGCACTTCCCCAAGAAGCTAAGGACCTTTCTTCCCTCCGCCTTTTTAAGAGCCTTGTCGCGCCTTGACTTTGATTTTGTGCTTCTCATTTTGTTGCAATCACTACTTATCCATGCCGGTTCCTTTTTTTCTTCTCCTCCCCTTCTCCCTTCCTTGCCGTGGTTGGCTAACACCCTCTCTCTTTGTATTGGCCGGTGTTCTCACTGTGCTATGAGATGCTGTAATAAATAAATAAATAAATAAATGATGGAGTGTGGTGGTGGGGCCCATTAAGCTCCGCCGACCAGAGGTCTCGGCTTCATAGCTCCATGGACGCACCAAAGGGATATTGAGTAGGGAGGATTAAATTGAAAAAGAAAACAGAAGAAAGAAAATGGAAAGATTGTATTGCTCAGTGAGCAAAAGAATAAGTTGAGTATTGATGTGAACGCTGTTAGACTTTTAAATTCAAGAGGAGACTGTCTGTGAGGAGAGATTACATGTATGTCCAAGCAGGGTAGGACACTGTACCCTCTTACTCGCGTATGCTATGAGTGGCCCAGTGCCAGTTCGTCCTGAGGAGATGGTGATAAGCTGCTGTCTTGAACTTTTGGATGTTCTTTGGGTGAAATGGGTGGGGAATGATAGAGGTAGGCAGCTGGTTCCAAATTGGGATGACGGAGTGGGGAAAGGCTCGGCTCACATTGTTCCGGGAATTGACAGGAAGAACATTCTGTAACTGATGGGGATGCGCGGTGGACAGTCGTACAGCCTGGCGGGTGAGGCGTGTGGTCCTGGGTTGGTGTGTCGGGGGTGGAGCCATTCTCGAGAGAAGAGCGGGAGAATTATCGCAAAGGGCTTTATACAGGAGGCAGAGGGCAGCGATGGTGCGGCGAATTATGAGGCTAGGAAGCTAGCATTGCGGATGTATTGCCTTGATGGCTCGCTCCTGCACCCAGTCCAGCCGATTCAAGTGGGAAGGAGCTGCCCCCATCCAGACGATTGGGCAGTACTCCATAACCGGCCGGACAAAGACTTTGTAGGCTCGAAGCCGGGCAGGAATAGTCAGCAAGTGAAATGCCTTGCGCAAGGCTCCAAGTCTCTGCGTTGCTCGGACTACAACAGTTTGGATATGCTGGCTGAATTTTAGCTGATGGTCAAACGTGACGCCGAGTACTTTGATGGAGGGCTGCTCCTCGACAGGAGTTCCATTGAAGACAATGGGGGGGGGGGGGGTATTGGCCAGTCCCGACGATGGTGGGAAATTGTAAGGGCCTGAGATTTGGCTGGCTCGAACTGCACTTTCCAATCCGAGCCCCAACTGGATACTAGGTCGACAGCAGCCTGGAGTTCTCTAGCCTTGTCAGGAACAGCAGCGAGCGTTGCAATTTCGGCGTGTAGGGTTGTGTCGTCGGCGAGTGTTAGCCAACCACGGCAAGGAAGGGAGAAGGGGAGGAGAAGA